TGTGACCCTCTAGAAGCAGGCTGCCAATAACTGTCAACATACCATCGAAGGCATCTCGACTCAGGCTATACTAGGACTTTAAATCCATTATGTGTCCAATGGCATCCAATTGAGAAACCTTTGCCTGGCCGTGAAGGGGTTTCTATGCCACGGCAAACATATCGTAGAACGCCTTTGTGGTTGCCTCTGGCTCCTCCTCCGTACGTCCTTCAGCGAACTGTGCCTCGTGATAGTCATTTAACATGTCTCTACCCCCTTTATCAACATCATAATCCTCGACGCTGTGGTCTCATCACCTCCTCTCTCATACGATCGGCTTCACCATGGTACACCCACCGGGTATAGTCATCGTCAAATCCATTCTTCCAAAGATGTTCCTCCATGACCTTCTTCGCTTTGTCTTTTCCTATTTGCACATTTGATGTAGGGACAACAAATTTTACTCTCCTTTAGTAGCCACGCCTAAATGCCCGTTCCAAGAAAGCATCGGTCTTGTCGATCCATTCATTGGTGACCTGACCCTGACTTGCGCGGCCCGTGTACATCCACTCACGGTCCTCCATCCTCTAACATATATAGCGGCGAGTAATATAAACATCAATTGCATCTACACAATGTTCCTACTATCTAATAGGTGAGGATAGGTCCTAATCCCACGCGAGGATCAGAGATGAGGTTAGTTTCCATGCTCTACTCCTATCCGAGATAGAATTTGGAAGATTTCCCATTTGTTCTCCAAATACGTCCCGCCAGGAGAGTGTGTATCCGGAGAACAACAGGGGAGATGATGCCAAAACTCTATCTCAGATCGAAGGCACCATGGAAACTAACCCCACCCACGCATCCGCTGGCTGTCCAAAAACGTGGACAATTCAAAATGATACGGTTTTAGATATGGAAATATCTCGCATATTTCCAATCAGTATCTTTCGAACGGGAGACGCCTAACTAGGTTACGTGATCTATGACCATGATACGTGAAGAGGGTTTATACCTAGGGTGGCGGTGGAGTCAAAGCAAGCGGGCCATGGCGGGTCGGTGCAAGTGGCGAGGCGACGCAGCTGGATCAGACCAAGTTGGCGAGGAAGGCGATCGGGTCGCCGAGGTACTCTGCCCGGCTCCGATGGGCTCTTCTCTACCAAAAAAGAAACATAAAACTGTCATTACAAAATTTCGGCAGCACCTCCCCTACACGGTGAGGTTTCCAAAACCTACAAGAAAACCAACAGCGCGATGGCCGACATGCACATATATATGAACGGCACGATGGCCGACATGCACAAGATTATGTAAGGAACACCTATCAACGTAATCAGGATAAGCAAGGATCAGGGATTACAAATTCAGGATCTGTATCCCATTACTAATATATGTACACGAAGGAACACCTAGCAATGTAACAAATGCTACTGAAATCTTGAAAAGAGTGAGGTAGTGTCTAATATTTCTCCAACACATATAAGCAAGAATGTATGAGTTAGTTTAGTGACCTTTGGGAAGTTATACATTGTTCAATACACAAGGGAAAGCAAAGTCCCTAATTTTTATCCTTTATTTCTAGGAGACAAACATGCATAGGAATGATGATGTATAACAAAGTACTGATCTAATCACAGATATGTGAAAACAAACAATAGCAATCAAACAAAAGACAACTTAACAAAGTTTATTAATAGTCTAGCTGGGTGCTGCCTACAATATTTAGGTGCCATTTTATTATCCAAAAGACAAGCAGAAAAGTATTTTGCTCAAGTTAAAATGCTCAGTTAAACAAAATTGCCAGGTGCTAACTACTGACCAGATATTCCATAAGCTAAATTAATTTATGACAAACATCAATCCATGCATCCACAATCCATCCATGCTAAACCTCAGGTTTGCAACTATGCACCATAACCGGCGTCCACGAAGGCACCCTAACCAAGACATCTTAATCTATTTATGCATCCACATCCATCAGGCGAAGACGGCATAGGGGCTCACCACTGCAGAATGGCGAAGCACAGCATGACAAGCAAGGTGACCATTCAGCTCAGAGAGCGCTGCGAGGGAGCGCCGATGCTGCAGGACCACGCCGCTGCGACTGAGATGGCCAGATGCGGGTCGCCGCTGCTTGGGGGCCGCGCTATGCCCCGGCGGCGTTGCTGCGGCGCCGGCCTGCTGGAGCAGCGCGCGAGGGCGAAGGCGCCGTTGCTTCGGCGGCCTCCTTCTCTTCCTCCTTCTTCCTCCTTCCTCCTCTCCTCCTCTCCTCCTCTCTTTCTCCTCCTCCTCGGACAACATGGGCGGTACCCTTGCGCGGCGGCGGCGTGGCACCGGGCGCGGTCTGCTGCGCAGTGTGTGTGTGTGTGTGTGTGCATGTGTGCGGTGTGTGCAGGCCGGCTGGGCCGGCGGGGTTAAATCCCCCCTTTGCCGAGTGCCCCCGATCTGGCACTCGGCAAACTTTTTTTTTAATTTTTTTTAATTCTCTGCCGAGTGCCACCTGACACTCAACAAAGAGAGTTTTTTTTAAAAAAATTCTTTGCCGAGTGCCCCCTATCTGACACTCGGCAAAGTATTTTTTTATTTTTTTTAAATTCTTTGCCGAGTGTCATCCGGCCTGGCACTCGGCAAAGAGGGGTTTTTTTAAATTTTTTTTAATTCTTTGTTGAGTGCCATACGTCTCGGCACTTTCGGCAAGAGGCTCCTTTGCTTAAGCGCCAACGCGAGACACTTTCGGCAAACCGCTTTTTATTTTTTCGTCTCGCTTCTAAACTTTTTCAGAGTTCTCATACAATACACAGTACTCCATATTCAATGTGACATATTTCTCGGACTTTTTCTATATTTATTTAATTTATTTCATTTAATTAAATTTTCTTGAATAATTCAAATTATAATTGCTAGTCAAACCGAAGAATCTCCGAAGACTAGCAGTTATAATTTGAATTATCCAAGAAAATTCAATTAAATGAAATAACTTAAAAAAATATAGAAAAAGTCCGAGAAATGTGCCACATTGGAATATGGAGTACCAGGTATTATATGAGGACTGCAGAAAAAGTTTGGAGGTCAAAAGTGAAAAAAAAATATGGTTTGCCGAGTGTCAAAAAATGACACTCTGCAAATCACCACTTTGCCGAGTGTCAGGAGAAGACACTCGACAAAGAGTTAACGGCGGCTGCCGGCCGTTAACGGCGGTGGCCCTTTGCCGAGTGTTCTGGTCTTCCGAGTGTGCCGACACTCGCAAAAGCCCCAATGCGAGTGTTATTGTTTGCCGAGTGCTCGGCACTCAAGAAACCACCTCTTTGCCGAAAGTGTCAGGTTGTTTGCCGAGTGCTTTCTCTCTGACACTCGGCAAATAGCCCATTTGCCGAATGCCCGATAAAAAGCACTCGGCAAAGTCTGGGACACTTGGCAAAGAAGCCGTCTCCGGTAGTGATCATCTATAATAACAAATTAGTTTTTCCTTAAATTCTCCATGAGTATGTTTATATTGTGCATTTTTTTTTGAGTTTGTAGATCTAATATATATTTTCCCAAAAATAAAAATATGGACAATGTTAGAAAATTTTGACTCTGAGACAAAGGTGAAATGAACTGTATAATAGGATTTAAAAAGTACAGACATGAATGAGCCGGTAACTCGGGCAAACCAATTATACTGTGATGAAGCCGCGTTTGAGCTATGGCACAAATTAAAAGGGTCATCTGTGCAAGCTATTTGAGTTTGCTCTTTGCAGGACGACAGTCGGTTCCATCTTTATTCTTTGGCTCCAGCCCCAAGCAAAGAGCACCCGGCCGCATGTATCTTTTTTTTGATGCCAATGCCAAAAGTTACAAGCTTATCTGGAGAAGCAACGGAACGGGGAGCTAATCGCAGGCAACTCGATCCCCCCTCGCATAGTACTACCTCTCCTCTGTCCGCTACCTCTTGCTGACAGCACCGTTTCTTGCATTGTGCTCTCCGATCGCAGCTCTGGATATTTTTTATATACATACAGTGTAGCTAGTTGCCAAGGTACTAACAACTTCTATGCTTCTTGATTCCATATGGTTGTTACTACTCGGCACATGTTTTTTTCCTCTTTGTCTCATTCTATATATATGCAGCATACATAGCTAGGTGCCGGCATGCATGTGTTCACACCGGACGCATGTATAATTAGCTTTATTTTGTTCTTGTGGATTAGGGATTGGAGATCCATCTGGAAGCGATGGAGTAGATATGGGCTACAAAATACCTCTGGAGCTTCTTCAGTTTGCTAATCTTTTCTATATATACAGACTCGTCATGCTGCCGGAAAAAATAGAGGTATGCCCCCCTCCCCCATTGAAGATATAGACCGTGTACTTTTGGGAACAAACACCAGTATATATAATGTCTAATTTTATTATCAGTGGCTTTCGCAATTACTCTCAAAATAGGAGTACGTGGACAAATGAGAGACATACCTCTGTTTGGATCACAAGGCTAAAAATTAGCCTATCTTGTGATAATAATAAGCTAAATATTGGCTAACTATAGGCTAATAAGGACTGATAAGTTCCAACCATCAATTAGTCCTCATGAGCTCTTATTAGCCTAAAGTTAGCCCATATTTAGTCCTTCTATTTCCTTCTAACTATTAGTCCCTAGATCAAACAGACATATTCATAATTTTGTATTCTACGTACTACCACATTTATTTCTGTTGTATTATATAATAGCCCTTCAGTCTTGTGGTTCAAATTCAGTCGGGGCTGGCGGTCCTCAAGTCCTCAACTCCCCACGCCCTTTCTCCATCCATTCTTTCCTCTCTCTCTCTCTCTCTCTCTCTCTCTCTCTTGATCTCGTCTCACTCCAAGCTCTAGATCAAGTAGGACAGCTAGCAGCCACGACCTGGGCAACAACGCGGTGGAATGCTGGTCGGCGCGGAGGGGGGCCGGATTCCCGCCGTCGTGGACCAAAGCTGCGATATCCTGTAGCCTACCGATTTGGCTGAGTGGATCGGACGTTGTAGAGTCGACAAAGGACGGCACAAATGGCAACGCTCAGGGCCATGATGGTGGTCACCACCATCGCCCTACGTGGTTGTACAGCATTGGAGGCCCCATGCGGCAGGCAGGAGCTCAGCGAGTGCTGGCAGCAGCCATGTGAGACAAGGGTGGCGAGTAGTACCTGAATTCTATTTGAATTAGAGTGGGGGCTGATAAGATTAGCTGTCCTAGAAAATAAAACATCTTGATCGGTTAATTCTTAAAACCTTGTGCACAAATATTTTTCTTCATCGGTGCAACAATTAATTCTTAAATATATCATATTAGTTTATTTGCTTTTGACCACATGTTAAGTTCCAACCAAAGAAAAAAAAAAGAAAAAAAAAAGATCTAAACTGGTACTCTGCTCCTTGTGCTAGTTACTGTGTGTTTGTGGAGTGAGAGTGGCCTTCTTAACTAGTTAATTGTTGGCTTCAAACAAAAAAAATACAGGATTTTAGGGCGGTCGATGTCAAGACGGCAGTACAACAAATATCTCGTTACTTAGAGGACACAAGCAACGATGCACCTCAGGTCATCTACTTGACGGATGGGATGGATGGACTGGGTGCTTCAAGCGGTGCTTAGAGCTATTGCGAGCACCCTCCACCATCTTTACGAGAGAAATTGATAAGATCATCCACATTGACTGCTCAATGTGGAAGAGCCAAGAGCATTGCAAAGGGTGATCGCAGACGAGCTCAAGCTCACTCAACAGCTAGCGGCTGATTTTGACGCCAAAGACGAGGAGGACGATTTCAGTGGGGTAGACCATGGCTCCAGAGCTGAGGTTAGAGGCGCCATGGCAGCAATAACTCGTTACCTAGTACAGTACAGATGTTTAGTTGTCTTTCACAATGGAAGTGATGACAAGGTTGACTTGACTAGCTGTGGCATTCCACAACCTGAAATCTTCAATACTAAGGTATTGTGGACCTCACAGAGGATGGCTTCACCTCAAAGAGAAATTCGCCTCAAGGTAGAGAATTCACAACTTTATATTTATGCTTATGATGACCTTCACGACAACTGGAATGCATACCTTGAGGAAGATGCTAGAGAAATCGCTTTGCACATGTATAAGCTTGGCCTTGGAGTTACACCTAAAATAGCCACAGAGTGTTGCTTGTACCTATTGTCGTTGAATAACCAAGGTAAGAAGATGATTGACTACAAACTGGGCAACCCATGCTTCCTGCTACTGGGTTTGCGATGGGATCATAGGAGGAGGACAGGACAACCAGACATGGAGGGTTGCTCATGCTCTGCAGCAGCATATAAGACTAGAAGACTACTCATCCAATGCAGAGCCAGAGCTTATGTGGTCTGTGGAGAAATTGGATCTTTCCTCAAAACAATGGATTTCTATTACTGAATCATATTTCAAAGAGGTTGCTCCAGATACAACAACATTGTTCTTTGCACCCGACAAGTCAAGTCCACGAGCAGTATCATTACCTAGTGACAAGTTCCATAAAGCAGATCAACTCCGGGTGCTGAAGTTATGTGGATGTACCTTCAGCTTTTCATCACCTCCATTCCATTGCTGCCACAACTTAAGATTCCTTGGACTGGATAGATGCAAAGATGAACTGCAACAAGGGGAGGAGGAGGAGGAGGAGAAAACAGGTGAACCAGCGGTGGAAATTTTTCAGCGGCTATGGGTGCTAGATGTATGCCACACGGATTGGCCATTGCCTTTTCCCCCAGAAACAGAAGAGCAAGTGGTGGCTACAGACATTAGAGAGGTTCATATAACCAACGGAAGGATTTGGACCAGCAACCTTGCATGGAGACGCCTGCCGAACCTTCACAAGCTCCAAGTAGTTGAGCCCACAAACCCTTGGGAGACAGAAAGAAGAGATGAATTCATGGCTATGGTGAATCTGGAGCTCCTTGACCTATCTGGGAACAGCACCATACAAGTCTTGCCGAGCCTTTCGGGTGCAACACGCCTCAAGACACTGATTCTAGATGGTTGTGTTGGGTTGGAGCATGTTGACCCTCAACAACTCCCTCCATCACTTGAATCATTCTCATTGAATACCGCAGGAGAAGATGAGGATCTCCAGAAGAAGAATGTTGAAATATCTTACATCAGCTTGGCTGGGTGTGTAAGATTAGCAAACTTTATACTGCGTGGGTCACTGCCAAACCTTGAGGAGCTGGACCTCTCGCACACAGCAATCAAAATCCTTGACCTTGGAGAGGTGGTTGAAGTAAAAAATCTTCAGCGGCTCTTCTTGATGGGATGCGGACAGCTCCGCTCAATTTCTTGGCCCAAAACCGAAATGTACAAAGTAAGGCTGTTGTGCATTGACACTAGAGCAGGAGGAGAGCTGGACAATAGAAAAACATGGCAGTATGATTCTTTAATGGTCTACCAGCACGACGAAGTAAAGGAGTATTGTCATGCATCTGTTGCCGTTGCAGACATGAGGTTCCTTCAGTCCTTGGAGTTTCTTTGGACAAGGGAAACCATTCGATGTGATAAGTGGAATCTCTGCTTGTCATCTACCAGCGATGATGATGGAAGAGGCTGCCACAAGGAAAAGATGGGCAGTCATTATAGCACTGGACAGCTAGCTGCTGCTCTGTCTCTGCCCAAGTCATTAACCTACCATGACATCAGCATTGAACAGATATCTGCAGAGATCGATATCAGCAGTAGCAGCAGCTCAGAGCAATTTCTGCCACTAGACTTGAACATGGACATTGGCGAGGGAATTAGTGACGTCACCGACAAGTCCAGCACGCGGGCAAGGGATGCAATACGTAATGTGATGAACAGTGTGCAGTCGTTGCACGTGCACGACAGTTCTTCCATCACCAGTGTTGCGCCTCAACACATTTTAATGAATGGGCTCAAGTGGTGCTGCGTGGAGAGATGCCCCAAGTTGGACATTGTCTTCGCCACTAACTATTACTGGAGATGCTTTTCTAATTTCGAAATCTTTTGGGCGGCTCATCTCTTGATGGCCCGTTCTATTTGGAGCAGACCAAGAAATCCAAGGTTGCATGCAAGTGAATTATCGTTTACACAACTGCGGGCTATTCATCTGCACTTCTGCCCGAGGCTCAGATATGTCCTCCTGATGGCTTCGAACAATACCTTATCCAAGGTGCTGAGACTCTCCACATACACTGCTGCGGTGATCTCAAGCAGGTCTTCCCCGTGGAGCAAGAGTTCCTAGAGAAAATAGCGGCCAGACATGAAAAAGGCATGCTGGGATTCCCAAACCTCAAGAGCCTATACCTGTATGATCTCATCAGTTTGCAACAGATCTGTGGGGCAAAGATGTTTGCTCCCAAGCTCGAGACCATCTATATCAGAGGCTGCTGGGGCCTGAGGCGTCTCCCGGCCACTGACAGTCGCCGCCGTGAAGATGGCCGCCCTGTGGCCGTGGACTGCGAGAAGGATTGGTGGGATAATCTGGAGTGGGATGGGATGGAGTCTGGCCACCACCCCTCCCTCTTCCAGCCGAGCCATTCCAAGTACTACAAGAGGCGTCACCTGAGGAGCACGGTTCTCCGCTGAGCTAGCCGACATGATCACCTACTTGCTGCTAGCTTCCTTCTTCTCCTGGTACGTTACACGCATGATAAAGCATCTTCCTCCCCTTAATTATTTGTAGTAATTTATTTCAAGTTAATTTCATTTCTTGTTCCGCGTACTGATGTTGGATCACTCTCTGTAGATTAATCTAGTGTTGGATCGACAGGGATGATGACAGACAGTGCTTTCTTCTGTCATTGGGTGCTTCTTCATATATAGCAGTACTGATGCTGCTGCTGCTGCTGTGGTCAACCATGTTGGTTTGTGTTGCTTGGCAAGTCTTCGGTGTGTTTTCTCAAGAATGAATAAATAACTTGGTTTCTGATGCTACCTGCCTACTTGCATCAACCAAGTTTGTTACATCGGTGTTGATGTGTGTGCTTGATACTACAGGAGGTGTGAATTTGTGTGTACATGTCTCTATTGAGTCTTGAGAGACTGTAACTGATTGATGTATCATTTTGCTTTGGTTTGGTTTGCCTGGTTATCTGTGTGCGTGTGAGCTTGAAAATTGAAATAAGAGGCTGGGTTTGATGCCTCCACAGAACCCAACCCCATGGTGTTCAAGTGTTGCTTTTCAGTTTCATTGAATGTATTGGACACAATGTATGTATGCTTGTCTGTGATCCATGCAGCAGCATGCTAATGCTGCCAGCAAATTATTAAATGGCTTGGTTTGATCCACATGGAGTGTTAACTGATTTATTTGTTTACAGTATTCATGCGTAGTACATGTTTCGCTAGCTATAATAGCTAGTGTATGGGTGCATTCAGGGGAGATTAAGCAATAGCACTGGCATAACTGATACCATTCATGGGAAACTGAAGGCGTCGGGGCTGTTCATGCACTCTACATTTCATCATGTACTTCTTGTTCTGATAGACCACAAAGGCGCGGAGTTTTTTCACACAAAACTGTCAAGAGTGCAATGGAAGCGCGCACCAACATACAAGTGGAGAATAAGCAATATAATGCCACAACTTGTATACAACTTCACATGTTTCATTGTGACAAATGTGTCTCACAACTATACTGGGAAAATTTTGCTAAGCCTTACAGTCCTAAGTTCATCTAGCCCACTCGATGTTCAGGATAGAAGTATAAACAAGGATATAAACAAACACCAGAAGTTTATTCTCGCTAACCTTCAGCCTAGGACCATCAGCAACCTAGTTGCCTACATGAGTATGAGCTTTGACAGAGACGCCCAGGATTAGGAGCTGATGGCCAAAAAAAACACTAATGCTTTACAATGGTATAACCCTGGTTAAACACGGGCAATGTTCATAGGATAAGCAACTTTTCCTCCTGAACTTTTCATGCTTTGGTTGTTGAATCTGCCGGCGATGAACCTGTTGGTGAGGGGCATGTATCGAGATCCCGTTTGCCCTTTGATTTCTTCATCTTCGCTTTGAACCGGGACTTAGCCATCAAGGTGTCTACTGTGTTTGCAAAGTTACCAATTGCCATTGCAATCAGCAGGATCCCGCAGACCACAACCTGTGACATAACACAAAGCTTATAACACGGATAAAATACTACAGAATCCTGGTTGCATTAACAACTAAAAATACAATGGGATCCTAGTTCATTAACAGCTAAAGTCTCTGACCTGCCACTCAGGGACGACGCCAATATGAGCTGTGCGAAGAAGTAAAACCCCGACATAACCCTCAAATCCCTAAACAAAAAGGAGAAAAAGAACAATCAGATGTTTCCTCCAGGGGGCATATGTTTATGAGAAGATTGTAACATCATGTTGCATGATGCAATCATGAACCAATCAATAGTAATGATATTCGATATAGAAGACTTGGCACTGTCATCAAGAAATTCTCACAAAAGCATCGTTTATTTATTAAAGAATATGCAAAGATAATTTCATGACATTGAATAGGAAAATTAAGTTTGCAATGTATAACCCTAGATGAGGTTATGCAGTAACTGCAGGTTGTCATGTTCGGGCAGCATGCAGCTATCAGAAGAAAGAATACCTGCAAGAGAAAAAGGAGAGGGCACAACAGCAACAATTGACCTTCAACGCCAGCAGTCTCTCCCCATACAACATCCATTCTTTTAGCCTGATGGCAAAGCAAAATTCCAGTTACAAAATATTACTTTTACTGAAGTAACTGCGCGACTAAATGCCCTGCAATGTATAGAAAGATGGGTAGACCATGCCAATTGTGTGCTTCCTCCGATCACAAGTATAAGTCCATTTAGGTTTGTCCTAACTCCTATGTCAAACTTCTTCAACTATGACCATCAACATCTAAATTATATAAAGATTGGTAAAGCAAGATTGACATTGTTAGACTCGATATAAGAAATACTTTCATAAATTTTGAACCTTGTATTTTAAATCTATATAAAAATTTAAGATAGTGATGATCAAAGCTAAACAAAATTTGAGTCCGGACAAACCTAGATTATTTTATATCTGTGATGGAATGAAGTAAATTCTCTCAAGACAAGCGTGAGATACTGAGATCCTCCATTTTTGTCAGAATATTACCTTCCCCAAAGCAATCCTAGTATATAATCTTTGACGCTGATATCTATTCTGCAACATCATAACAAATCCTTGCATTATGGCCCAGCACAGAAAAAGTTCAACGCCTCTGTCAAAAAAGAAGAAACAGGTTAAGCACAGGCATTTGTATACATTGCATAATGGAAAGATCTAAAATGCATACCTGCTTATGTGCACAATTAGGTTGCCCCTTTATCTCCCATGTGAGACTTATAAGAGACATCAGCATGGCACAGTAGTGATGAAGTATCCACCTTAAGGGAGAAAACAAGAAGAAGAGACGGTCACAATATGGAACCGGCAAAAAAGAAGGCAAATGGAATAGTGGATAAATAGGTCTTGGAAAACAGAAGTTATCCCACATGCGTTAGTTTAAAAAAGCTTTTACAGGCCACAACACTCTTAGTTTCTGCAGATATTATATGCCAGAGCATCAGTGATCCTTACCAAGGACGAATATCACTTCCATTAACTCGCAGTATGTTCTCACGCAAAGCTAAACTAGTATACAGGAATAACAACCAAGCCTGTACAAGGTAAATTGAGATATCAGTGTCTTTTGGTGTGGCATGAAAAATAGGATTAATTCAACTATTGCTGCATTGACACAAGCAAGCATTAGAGTGTACCTGGTATAGCTGAACTGGCAATGCTGGAAAGCATCCATTCCATAACCATTTTCGAAGAAACAACAGAATCACCGGAAAACCAAGAAACAGCAAGGCAGTTCTGTCCTGGAAACAGGGGAAAAGGTGGATTATAAACAAAATAAACTTTCTAGCTAGTCTGGATCTATTATCCAAGGATCTAACATTGATAGCTAAACTAAGATTCCTTTTGCAAAAGCAGAGAGTAAAAGGATGCATCTAGTTTCTTGTTTGTATACTTAACGATGATCAAACATAACATAGAACGATCCAATTCATGTTGATTGTTTCACTAGGAAAAAGTGAGGGAATCAAGAGGGATGTTGTGTTAGCTATTTCTGTAAACTTACATAACTCGAACCTACAAGGTTATAGTTTCAGAGGAAAATCAGAGTTACATTAATTTAAATTTATTTACTTCAAAATTTTATATGTGGATAAAAACTCCCACAAGTTAGACCACTATGTTCACTGAATAGCATTAGATACAAACAGAATTATTATAAACATTTGGTCGGTTGAGCAGCACAGACCTGTAACCTGAAGTCTAACAACCTTTTGTGCTAAAGATAAATTACACATTGTGACAGTGCAAGTTTTCACTTAGTGGAAGCTTTGAGTGAACTTAAAATAACATTGTTCCCAAGATACTTGGTTCAAAGAACAAGCCAAATTTCAAAACTCTAAATCAACTAGTGCCTCCAGCGCGATTATATGATTCACCCAAAGTCCTCATTTGGAAAACACAACTTGACACCAAGAATACCATGAATAGTAGTACAGTTTGACACATACCCTGTAGCTATTGTACTCCTCCTTCACCTTGAGCTGCACCTCCTTCCTTGTTGCCCGCAGATTTACTGGTCCCAAGAACATTTTCAGAAAAGCGCCTGCAAACCCAACAGAAGTACAGGACATTATTACAAATAAAACACAGGCTTCACTCTCGGAAAAAGAAAGATGACAAAACCCAAGAACAAGATGAACGAAGCTTAAAACTACTCAAATAACCTTGCGTCTTGCTCGGGAGCAGCGCCGCAACATCGCCGTCAGCAATGAGGCACGTTGCTCGATCCAAGTCCTCCTCAACCTGGCCAAAACCACACCCACATCAACACGAGCAATCACGCACATTGTGAGGATCAATCACGGAAAATGGCACAGCGATTCAGGAACCCAAGGAACACCAAGAGTTCCCCCTCAGACACCCAGACTACACAGCGCATTGACGCGACCAAAGCTGGCACTTTTTTACAGCAGGCCGAATCGCAGTTCCACAGAAGCAGATCTCCCCGGCGATCCCGGAGCCACCCACCGCCCAGCGACGCAGCATGCAGAGCCAAGCCAGCAGCGCGCCGAACCCTAGGCGCAGCCGGGGACCCGCGCGGCGAGCGATCTCCTCAAACGTCTCCGCGCACCGACACGCATCCGCCGCCGGGCGCGCAGTCACAAACACACAGGGGGTTCGGGAGGCACGCGCGCGCGCACAGACACACAGAGAGCGGAGTGCGTCGGGAGGAGCGCACCTTGTCGCTGTCGGCGTGCGCTGCGGCGGCCTCGCACAGCCGCCGGAGCTCCCCTGACCGCGGCCGCGCGGCGGCGCAGCGCCTCCTCCTCCGCCCGCGCCTGTGTCAGCAGCGCCGCCGCCGCGTCCTGCAGATCCCGCGCCTGCTCCGCCGCGCCGTCCTCTCCTCCTCCCCATCTCTCTCTCTCCTCCTCTGCTCGCGTTGCCCCTCTGTAGAGCGAGCGGCTGCTCTGTCTATAGGGGCCGCGGGAGTGCGAGGCAGACGCACGCGGCTGGAGGCTGACGGCCGGGGCCCACGGCGAGGTGGGGTTAGTGTCGTGGTGATTTGGTTTGTGCTGAGCTTTTTAGTTTAATGGAGTGTGTGAATGCGATTAGATTTTTGGCAGCATTTAAATCAGGGGATGTAGATGCAGTAGATTTGGAGCAGGTTAGCTGGTTGATTTCGGGCGATAAGTCTAGTTTGCTTTGGTTTGTTGTGAGAGAAAAATACTATAACATAGCTGATAACCCCTGACTGAAATCAACAAGCGAACATGAATGACATTCGTGTGATTTTGGCCTCTTGCACTTACTTTTTTGGGGGGTTTTGTTTGGCTTTTAGGGCTTTTGTAGGCTTTGGTTTACTTGTAGGAACGAGGAGAGTATGTGTAATTTTTTTGGTCCGTTTGTGGGATGTGTCATCAATTCATCATGGTTTAACTTTTATAAGAAGATTGTCGTGTTTTGTGTATGGTATAGTGCACGCCATCACGTAAGTTTCAATACTTTGCGCTTTAGGATGACGTGTTATTTGTGTTTTTCTGATCACACGTGTATCAAATTAATACGAAATTAATTAACAAATCTTTAGGTGATTTATTACACTTTTATACTATCGTGGCATTTGTATTCATCAACAATGGATAGTAAATTATCATAGGAATTTCATAGAAAATAGTTTTCATTTTTTCAAAAAAAAATCTTCCAAAATGGCCCTAAATATAGCTAGGGTCAAATGACATTCCACCGTGTCCATAATAGTTTGATACATCCTTTCATCTCGTGCTAGTTGGGATTATTTTTGTTAGTGTGCTCTATTATGGTATTATGATCGCTGACCTAGGTGCCGTGATGGAACCTGGAGTCCCCTGTGGTGTGTGCTGCAGCCATGCGTGGTGCTACTAGGTGCGCGCAGGCGTCGAGGAATATGCTGTCATGATCCATCATGGACCCACGTTAGTGAGCTGTTCTAACTTGCATGGCTATTCCAAATTTCCTTGATGACCAACATACCTCCTTATATGTCTTGGTCACATCCTTGCGTTCTTTTTTAAGACTTGTTGCATTGCTCTTTTCAATAAGATGTTTTATAAATAGTGTGCCTTGCAATGGTACAAACATCTCTCCTTTGAGGATGCAAGGGAACCGAGGCTCCATGTGGATTCTAACCACATGAGTAGCTTATGGATGCCCCCGAGTATCAAAGAAATTGTCGCGACCATTGTAACATCTCATCAATGGACATTCTTATTGAAAGTGATGCCCCTCCCAAATACTCTCCTTGCTGCAATGAGTGACTCCGACAAATCCTTCATTGATGTCTAAGGTCCATGCTATCCTTCTTACATGGATGATACGAATTTGCTTGCTAATTCCTATACCAATCCATGCTTAATGCACTCTCCTTTGAGAGACACCCTTGTCCAACTAAACTATACTCTCAAAGTCACCTTGTCTAACCTTAGAATTCTTGACCGATGTGTCCTACTCCAAATTACATTGATGTCTTCCTCACCTCGGCTTTTTTAAATCTCGAGGACGAGATTTCTAAGGGGGGGAGATTTGTAACGACCCAAAAATCATTGCCGATAGGTAGTCATTTCCGACCATCCAAGTGTGCATGTTTTAATCCAAATTAGGATCTGACTTGTGTTTAGGCCAACCCAAAACCGAAAGCATCGCTTAGTTTTAAGGGATCGTCCGACATCACCATCGGATCGCCCTCAAGACATCTCACAGACTTAGGATAATCTTGGCCAACCTGCAATGACGGAGTGTCCGTGGTATCCAAATAAGTATCCGGCGAATTATAGAGGACAAAGAACTCAAAGAACCCGAGAGTGACCAGCCCATACCAAGTGTCCACACTCACGACAGAAAGTGTCCATCGAACCGTAGCACACTCACCAATCTAGCGGAGAGTCCGCCAGACCGACGGACTATCCGACAAAACACACCGACGCCTGCCTCATGTAGTTTGATTCGTGTCACACACACCACATATGGTCTCACTTGTCATTGGCACCACTCACACAAAAACCCCCCACCACCTCTCCACTCTCTCCATCTCCCTCATTCTCACATTCACGCTTAGCAACAGAGAAGAGAGAAAAGAGAGAAAGGAAAAGGAGAGAAGAGAAGGAAATGAGAAGGAAGAAGAAGGGAAGGAAGGAAGGAAGAAGGAGGGCATCAGTCGGCACCATGTTGCACCTCATCCACGCCTGCCAAGTTCAACGGAGTTGGAAGAGAAGGCCACCCCGAGCACCTTCTTCAACCTCGAAGTTTCCATGGAACCCAAGCTCGATCTCCTCCATGTCTGCGTCCCCCGACCGAAAGCTACTTCTGCTTGTAGCTTCCCAAGGCATGGTGAGAACCCCACTGCATCCATCTTCATCCTCGCTAACCCTAGCAAGTTCCCCATGAACTCCATGGCCGCCCATGGTGAGATTCACCATTTTTGGTGGACGACCTTCCCGCAGCACATTCATGTCACATCCATCACTTGTAGAGGCTTCCCACATCAAGAGTAAGCCATAGAAACAAATCGCACTTGATTTGTAAACTTGATGCCCTGTGAATCATTTCCAACGCTTTTACACCCGAGCTGTTCGTCTGCTTTTATCTGGATGGTCTCATCATTCTCATGACTCGTCTGTCTTGGCGCAAGAAATTGCCCTAGCAGTAACACTCAAGACGCGAAATCAAACCTCAAGGATCTGTCCACCGCCATGGACTGTCCAATTGCACTACCAAAGAAGATAGCCCCAACTTGTAAAGGTCATAGAAGATGCATTTGAACTTTACAAATTATGAAACAAGTTTTGTTGTGTTCTTTAGGATATTCTCTATCATCTAGACATGATCTTGACACCAAAAAAGTATATCTTAATTTTGATGTAGAATAATGCATTTTTAGTGTAATAAATAGACAACTTATTCTCTAGGCGCCTTTAAAAGTCATAAAACTTGCTTTGTTAGCTTGCTTTGAGCATATGATGTTTGTGAGACATGTTTTGTGCACCATCTCATTATGTTCATGCACATAAGCTTATCCTTTGTCTCACATAATATAATTTGGCGGAGTGTCCGCGCTCACTACCGAAGTGTCCGCCAAATTATAGAGCTTGGTCTCTAAATAACCCGAGAGCCCCCAATTCCTACCAGAGTGTCCATTGACTATCATGGACCATCCGATGAGGACTAAACACCAAGATGTTTAAGTCCCAAACCCCGACGGAGCGCCCATGAGTCGTGATGGAGTGTCCGCAAGGCATACTAACAAAGACAATAAGACTATGTTACACACACCTAGTACCATGTACTTAGTAGTTCACTACTATACTCGCATCTTCGTCAGAGTTGCATCATAACCCACACCGTAGTTCAATTTTGGCCTCGGCGAAGATATGTCGACATGCTGATGGTCATAGCCTTCACCGCCGCCATTTGGGATCAACTGTGGTGTACACTAACACCGCCGATTGGCTTATGATCCGTCCAAGTGATTAGGTCCTTACTTTAGTCGATTGAAGCACGACCCTACCGTGGATGTACACTAACACCGCCGCATTGGTAAATGATCCGACCGTAGCGAGGCTATCAAAACCATCATGTGGGCACATCAACCACCGTAGTGGTCACCAAAGACCACGTCGCTTTGTATGTCGAATTCGACTATTAGCAATGTGGGTTCACTTTATCGGTTCGACGGCCGAGACGCTGTGTAGAGGTTAACACCACCGCCGCTCAACAGATGATCCGCCAAGACAAAGGTCATGGTCACCATCGCTTTACACCACGATCCGCCTTTGATGATCATTTAGTCGATGTCGTTTACTAGAAGATTCAAGTGATATATACTTTTGATCCTCGCACATCATACCTATAGCGATGGTGATAGAATTTCATCCCGCTTCACAATAGTTACTAATTCACCGGGCCCTTAATAGCTTAATGAACACAAAGCATATAGATATATAATTATTACATCCATAAATCATATTCACAAACAAGAGTACTTTTTTACAATAACAATGGACGCTACCATAACATCTTTCTCAACCGATGTCCTAACACAAGCGGTACATAGAACATACTAAAGGTACCGATCTATACAGACTTACATAACAAAACGAATGAAGTTGTGCTCCTTATATGTGGCACTCCCGCCAGTAAGGCAAAATGAATATAATTTGTGCATCCTTCGATTGGTAGCCAATGCACCATGGAACCCTCTTATTCATCTCCTCGATCCACAACCTAAAACAAAGTAGCATAATTAATAATATTGAATATCATTTCTTTAG